TGTTAAAAGAATTTTACATGATTAACCAAATTCGTTGATCATATTCGAACGGCTTTTTCACGTTCCTGCACTAATATATTGCGTCTGTATTGAATTATTATTTTGTTTTTTAAAAAACCTTCGTCGAGCATGCATAAACATGGAGATTACAAAATTATATAGGTGATTATTTTTAAAAAGTGTCTATTTTAAAGATTAAATAATATATGTATGTACACATATTTTTTCTATGAAAAAGTGTATACAATTTGAAGAGAAGGGTTCAGGCCAAATATAGTTGGTTCTTTTGTGGTGTAAAGGGGGGAGGCAGAGTGATTAAGCCTAGGGGTGACAAAATGATATATTTGCTTTATTTTAGTAAAATAATTAAGTAGGCTCTATATATTTTCTTTAATAATATTTGTTTAATGTTGTACTGATTTTCCCGGTTTTCTACATTTTTCTCGGTTTTCCCACGTTTTTTCCCAGTTTTTAAAATTTGCTGACAAAACTCCTGAAAATATCGAAAAATTGCCTCTCTAAAGTACCTTCCTAGTAAATTTCCTTTTAGAAAAATTGCTATCATTAAAAGTTGGAGCGAATTGCCGTTAGAAAAATTGTCCACAAGAAAAAAGAAAGCCATCGAATTTTTGTATTTTCCCTAATTATTAAGAAAAAAAAATTAGAAAATCGAAAAATAGTCAGGTTAAAGTACCAGCTAAATAAAATTCCTTTTCAGAAAAAGTGGTACATTTCAACACTTGATACATCGGGAAAACATTTCTGGTAGAAAATCTGTACACAGTATTAAAAAATAACAATATTAAACATCATTGTAAAACCAAAACATTCCTCGCCACGCTCAAATCTAAAAATAATATATATCATTTTTTTTACACCAATTGTGAATTTAATGTCAGTTAGGCCAAGTAGAAACACTGAGCAACAATTTTAGGAGAAAGGGTTCGACTTTTTAAAAACGATTTAGTAAAATGATAAAAATTCTGTTTTAAAATTCAAGTATAACTGATATACTTATTAATTTTGAGAAATTAAAAAAAATAAAACACTACACCTCCTAAATATACATATTATACATTTAATTTTAATATTTAACTTTTCCTACAATTCTTTTGCGATTCTAAACGTAGCTCAGAATGCGTTTGCTTTACTATATTATGCATTATTTGTGTGTGTTTGTAATCAACTTGACCACTGGAAATCTTTTTCCGATCATCAACTGGATGGTTTCTTGTACAAATAACCAGGGCCAGCTCAAGGTATAGATAACCTAGAGCGGCACTTTAACAGGGGCGGTATTTTCAAAATTAGCTGATACATTTTTTTTATTTCTACTTTTATAAGTAGAAATGGTTAAAATGGAATGGTTAAAATAAAAAATATTTTAAAAAGCAATACATATTTGATTATATGAATTATATGAATTTCTAAAGTCTAAATATGTATACCTAATGAATTTATAATCAATTATACTTGTATAACTATACAAATAAGACATTAAAATAAAAAATATCCCAATAGTCCCAACACTATTTGTTATTTCTTTAAAATAAAAAAATTAAAATATTTTTCATGTAAATATGTCACATAAAAAATAGGGGGAGGGACGGAGTTAAAAATGAGAGCTCATTTTTTTTTTCGAGGTGGCTAATCTTACAGTTAATTTATGGAATTGAAAAATAATTTTTATAATTATTGGTAAATACCGTAAATATCTTTGAAAATATTTACGCATTAACAGTTTCTGTTATTTTTGATTTAATTTTCTGAAGATTTTTATGCTACTTAATGCCATTTGAAATTGTGGATTTTTTTTTTTTTTTGGTTTTATATCTTATGTTAAAACATATTTGGCCCAACAAAAATACTCTAAAATTTAACACAATGTTCATGATAAAAAGTTACACAGTAGTAATAAAAAAAAAAATTGAGAGTAATAACATTTACATTAATATAGTACTTACTTTGTTTATAAGCGTTTTGAAAATTAATTTTGACGAAAATCATAAAAATTAAAGTATTTCAAAACATGTTTATTCGAACTTTACTCAAAATAGTTGTTTGAACAATGATTTATCGTTGCCAATATGGCTATATAGTTTAATGTAAATATTCAATTATACTCTATGTATCCTATAACCTTCCCAACTTCCCACTTACTTTTTTTTAAGTTTGTATAAACAAAATAAATAAATTATATTTACACTTTTAATGACGCCTTTTAGTTCAATAATATTATAATGTCATCGAAGCGTAAAAATCGTATACTTTTCCATAAATAATTAATTATTCCCACAGAAACCTGCGAACAAGCGAACCTCCTCGTCGTTAAAACATAAATTATTCGCTATTTTATTAATGAAATAAAAATACACATGCATTATACGAACACTTACTCGTATCCTTTTCATACACATCCATCACCATATCTCAAAATTTTGATTTTTTTTTTTTTTTTTTTCGTTATCATTTATAGCCTTTTTTCACATTTATGTAATATAATGCATTAATGTCGTATTGTTGCTACTATTGATACACTCCAAACATTGGTAATATTTTAATGGTGATTTTACATAGGATATTTGTTAGTAATTTAAAACGACTTAGTACGAATTATGTTTATTGTTGACCTATGATTATAAACATTATTGTTCATATTTTTCAAATTAGTACCTTTGTCAAAAATATAAAACTTCACTTTTATAACTCGCTTTCAGGAAAAAAATGTCGGAAAACGACACATACAGCTTTTGTTTGTATAAACTACATTGCATAATGCATTTCATAAATAGATAGGTAATGATAATACAAAATAATAAAAATCCTATACGAAATTTTAGGATAAACAAAATTAATCAATACGATTATGTTAAATTTTGAAATTTCAGAAATAAACATTATAAAATTTGAAATACTTCTTTTTTAAAATACATGTAAAGATTTTATATTTATTTATAAAATATATCAGGTAATTTTTATTATTTTATATTATCTATCTATTTATGAAATGTAATATGTAATTTTTTTTTTTAAAGACATTATCATCATCTATTTATTTATGAAATGTATTAGGTGCTATGCCATTTATATTATTTTTTTAAGGCATAATAATCAGTTTGAGTACATTTAATATAGGAAATAATAGTTTAATGATAAATATAAACATCTAATCTATAATATAGCATAAGTGTACACTTACTGATATTTGAACTTTTTTTACCATGTAGGAACTTATAGATATAATTTTTTCCGCCTTATAGGAACCTAACATACGCACCTTATTTTTACCATGTAGACACTTACTACTTACACTTCTTTATTATATGTGTGCCTAGCTTTTATATTACCACGTCCAATTCCTATTATCATTAATCGTTGTGTATTAATTTTTTAACAGATTATAATTTGACGTCGATATTCCATTTCAACAAATTACAGATGACAAAATCGACAAGGTTGTTAAATGTCTTGATAATGCTTTAAATCTTCAATGTGGCTTGAACCACCTTTTTCAATTAAAAAAGTGGTGTCAATTAATGGTGTAATGAAAATGTAAATTAAATATGTCTTTAAATGTTGATAAATGTGCTATTATTTAATTTTCTTTAAAAAAATATGTTACTTTTTGACTACAAATTAAACAATTCAAAGTTTAAACGCAATAATAAAATTAAAGACATGGCATTTTCTTTGACTCAAAACTTTGTTTTAACTCTCATGTTAATCATATAAGAAATTAAGCTTAATAAAACGTATATGAAAAGATTTTTCGGACGAGTCAGCTATTAAAATTCTATATTTCGCACTAGTACGGTCTCACTTCTTCAATTCGGCACATAAACAATATAACCCAATATATTCTGAATATATTCTTATATTCAGAATAACTTTTTAAGATACTTATCATATAAATTTCGCCATAAAAGAGTTCCTAATTCTGGGTACAATACTATTTGTGACCTCTTTAAAATAATGCAACTAAATAAAAGACTTAATATCTTAAATTTTTGTATAAACTTTTACTTAATATTATAGATTGTCCTGAAATTCTCAAGTGGTTAAATTTTAGAGTAAACCATTCTAATTCTAGAAACAATCCACAACTTTATCGTTTTTCTACTTCTTCAAATTATATGCTATACACTCCTGCAAATATACTCATGTCTACTAGTAATTCCACTAAAGATTGAGATTTATTTAATACTACTTTATTCAAATTGTCAATTATCTGATCAATTAGGTAACTTTTGTTTTTATTCTTCTTTTTTTTCTCATAGTACTCTCTCCCTTTTTCTCTTACCTATGTTTATCATTTTAATGTTTTCCTATTTAAATATGTTGTCATACAACATTATATTTTTTTCTCCTTTCTTTTATTTTTATCTTCAAGTTTATATAGTCATTTAATATTGTATACAATTTTTGTTGTCTCTTCTTCTATAAACTTGTTACTAATATATTATTACTTTTTACATATATATATATTTATACACTACAGTCAGCTATTTTATTTTATGTAATTGTAATAAATTTTCGTGAATAAAGAATTATTATTATTTATATTATATAATATAATTCTTTTAACTATATTGTATCAAATATTGAAACATGTAAAATGAAGCAAGCAATAATATTAATACCCATTATTTTTCGTAACATTTTATTTAATAATATATACTATGGACGTTACAATATGACAAATTCAGTAATAACATACTTAGGAATAATTATCATTAATATAATATATAAAGATTAAATAATAAATTCTAATATAGGTCTAGACGTATTATAGCCCATAATTGAAAGATATTTAACTACCACTCATGGGACGCTAGAATCGTTTACATGAGAATCAATAGTAACCCCCTCTAGCGCCAAATATTAACATCGCAGAATATAGATAAGATATCTGTTAGAGTTTTCCATAGACTATTGTTGCTGTTGTTCTTTTTTTCTCGTAGTGGAGAGGTTGTATAATTTTATCACACCATCATATCAAACTACCTCATCCACTGATAATTAGGTTCCAATGTCGGCAAGCCTCCGTTTTCTGAGACCCAACAATCACCAGTTTTACCTTCTTCCAAAATATGGACGAAGTTTCTACCAACATTATCTGGTCTAAACAATAATAGAAAAAAACTAGTGTTAACTTCAGTTTACGTAGTCTTTGGTAGTTCAAGTCCGATTGAACACGATACATATTATATTATAGATATCTTTTTAAAGACACGATTGAAATGCGTGTTAAAAAGCCCGAAATGGTGTTCGAAATTTGATCATAATATTATAATATAATACTTACTGACTACTATGTATGTATTATGTTTGTACAATAAAAATTGACGAAATTATGGTAATTTTTGTAAATTTTACAATCAAACAAATTATAATAACAATAATAATAAAGGACACTTGAAAAATTTTAAAAAGAAGTGTGAGGTATTTTTATCGATCTTAAAAATACACCTACATACACGTCCGTTGTTAAAATGGTTGAGATGCACTGGCCTAATAAGTAATAAAACACAGGTATGGTTAAAAATCTTTCGTTTTACGAAATTAAATTGTATAGTTTATTGAAAAGTATATATTTTACGATGACTACGAACGCTGCAATATTTGGACAGTCGCACACGAATCAATTCACCGAACGCGTGTGTAGCAAAAATGGATGTAACACGATTACGCCCGTTTGATCTTTTTACCATCGAAAAACGCAACACGATTGTGCTCCAAAAAGTATAGGTATTTCTTTTTTACCCACCACATATACAACACGATTGATGGCTGGATTAAAAATTAGTTCACATAATGTTTTATGTAAATAAGTACATATTAAATTATAATTTGTATTCATATATTAATACATTAGTACACAAAAATGTACTACTTATTTTAAAATATTAATACATTATTAAAATATTCAGCTCAATACAATCAAAATACTACGTATTTATTATCATAAACAAATTTGTCATATTTTTTAAATAAATATATGTTTCCATAAATACTATGTCTACTATATTGGAAAAAATTTAAAAAAATTTAAATATCTTATAAATTATTTGTTATATCATGTATGATAATGATTTTAAGCAAAGCCAGCAATCATGTTGTATCGTATTGTGGTGGTTAAAAAAGGACAACACCTCGTATATTTTTTGGAGTGCAATCTGCGTTTTTTTTTACTGGTATAAAGGTAATACGGTCGCAATCGTAATGCGCTGCTCACCGAATACATAGTACGAAATAAAAGTACTGGTAACAAATTCATGCTTTAACAAAGTAGTGAAATAAGCGGATGCCCGCGTAAGTGTTACTTACCTACAAAAGTAAGTGACGACTCGAAACTATACGACTAAAATGTAGAGTATAAAAGTACTCGAAAATATTTAGGAAAAATTATCATGTAATTTATATGCGGGAAATACGAATAAAGGCTTCGGATACGATTAGTATGCAATATGCATATTTATATGCATTTGAAAATCAGAAAAATAACTAACTGTGACGCTTTAACTGCAACAGCACGTATTTCAAAATTCAATAAAATGATATTATTTATCGATATTAATTATACAAATAAAACAAGGGTTTACAAAAATGGTTTATTCTATAGTAATTTGTCTTGTTAAACTTACGGTTATACTATAAATTACGGAAATAACATCACTTATATCAAAACCTTGTACCAACATAATGTATCTCAGCTAACTACACAGAAACATAACAATAGTATTGAGATGTTTATTGTTTTCTTAAAATATTAAAACAAGTGTTATTTTTTGCAATATGTTTTGATCATCCTATAAGACTATAAAAACTGTGAAATGCATCTTTGCAGTATGAGCGACGATATATCACTAAAAATAATTGTATTATAATATAATAATAAATTACGCTCGCAATATTGACGAAACAAAAATGTATATTATGCTCAATCGGTCTTCAGTTTATATTTTATACACCCATTCACGGATATAAATATTTTATTTTTTTTTTAAATTTATTGTTGATATACGTATACAATTACTTACAATGAATCAGTGCATAACGTCATAAACTTTATACTTCGGTACGTTGGATTTCCTTCGTTTGACTTCTAGAGAAGAACAAACGTATAAAATCGAATTATATGTATACTATAATATATTATAACTAATAAGTAAAACAAAATGTATAATATATCGTTCAACTTACGGCGATTGCTTTCGTATACGCGGAAACATTTCTTCTTAAAGACAGATACTCGGGAATCATGGCGTCCTCGTTTGGTTTCGATACGATTTGCACCACGGTTCCGCCTTGACCTCCTAGCGGAACTCCCATATACTGTAATGCTAAAATTATTCCCCTGACGACGCATTCCTATACGTGTGCACAATAATTTATACGTTAATATTATTTTCCACACGAATAACGATACATTTGTAAAAACCGCGATCTCATCAGATTTAAAATCAATAATATGGGTATACCTACAAAGTTTGTGTCCGAAATAGTATTATCCTCATCACCCATCCAGGCATCGAACGCGCACGCACTATTGACGATAATATCGATCTTTTGGAAATGCCTGATACACGATTCGAACACGTCTATAATAATAATATTGCAATACACAATCAACATTACGATAATAATATTTCAGATATTAAATTGTAATAACAATCGTGGGTGTGCGTAAAAAACATTTCAGAATTTTTCAGTAAAGTTAAAATAAACTTTAAATGAAAATATGTTAAGATTTTCTCATAATTTAAGTACTGTAAAATTCTATATGTATTGTTCAGTATTGTATAATATATTAATATTTATATTTTAGTATTCAAAATTCGACTGTTTTTTTTTTTTTTTTATTTAAAAAATAACTTAATTTATTATGCACATTGATTTAAATAGTTATCCAATGATTCAACTTAAATAATACTATAGATTCAGGAAAAATATAATATGGGTTAAATTAACTTAGCTTTTTTTACACAGCGCATTTGAAAGGTGCAATATAGTTTAATTCACTGTAGTATGCGATCTAACTTAAAACGCATGAAAAACAGAAAAACCATGGGTTATCCTAAAACGTACATTGAAATAACACTTTCAATATTGGAAATATTGACTTAACACATCCTACACGAAAAACACACATTGTTCTGCATTTATTGGTGTAAATAACTAATTTTTCAAAATTTAGTGACTTAATATTATAAACGCGAATAAAGGGGGGTTTGAGAATTTAATTCCCCAAAAATAGCAATAATGCTTTCAAACTTGTTCTTTTATTTGTTTACATTCATTGAGTTGAATATTTCTGAAGGCAAAATATAAATTAATACTAGCTGACCCGGCAATACTTTGTTATTTCTAGATAATAGAGTAAATAATAATAATAATTACACACCCATGAATTATAATACACGTCAAGCGGTCCAGACAAAAATGGCGGATTTTAAATTTTAAATTTAAAAAAAATTATTTTTTATATTTTCATCTGTATGTAACTCACTTTTGAGTTGATTCTGGTCGGTACCGTTGCACTGCAACGCTACAACTCTTCTGTCACCAAACACACTAGCGTATTCGTTGACGACCGATCGACATCGTTCAAAATTATTTATATCACACAATGCCACCTGTTAATAATAAATAATAAAATAATATATTTTTATGATAGGCTGTTGCTAACTAAATCTATATTTTTTAATACTATAAAGAAGTAAAGTTAAATGTTTATAAATTGTAGGAGATAATCTCCAGAACTGCTGATCCGATTCTAAAAAATTAATTCACTGATAGAAAGCTACAGAAAGTCACTCAGAATAGTGTAACTTTGTATCAGCGAAACACTTTTCAAAATTGAATCAGCAACTCCGAAGGTCAACTTCTGTAAATATACGACTTTATATGTTTATGGTTTTATTATGTCAACAATAGTATACCTTGGCGTCGTTCTCGAGTAAATATCTCGCATAATCGTAGCCCAGCGTCAACGATTTTCCAGTGATCAGAACCACCTTATCCGCAAAGCTCATTCTTATATTATGCGGTTTAACTTATAATACAAATATTTTAAGATCCACAGGATCGACCGCTATATTCTTGTTTTTTACGAGTATATAATATCGTTTCACTTTGTTACTTTGTTTATGCTGCAACGTTAAACAAATATATTGTTAAATACATCACTTTAACGTAACCCCCCTACCCCCATTGTTTATTTTAATTATAGATAAGTAATGTTAAGAAGGTTGTAGAGATGACTTTCTTTACATTGAGGCTACCTGCGCCTGCCACCTGCCGTGTTACGGCGTATCACGGATAGTTGTGGAACTTGATAATCATTACTCCTTATATATTAAATAATCTTTATCATTCATTGCGTATTTAACATTGGAAAAACAAAAAACAACCCAGGACAAATGTTGGAATTTAATGTCTATAATTTATATCTTAATACAACAATTTATAACGAAAAACGATTCGGAGTTAAATTCAGTTATGCATGTTTAGAAAATTTAATTTTAAAACTCTTACAAAAAAAGAAAAATACTACATTAAACTAATTTTTTTTACTGTGTGTTCGCATAACAAAAACTACGAAAACGGTAATGCCGCGGTGCGCGTTAAGTATCTGCCGTTTATCCTTTAATTTTCCTTTGGTTTTTCTAGATTATTTCAAAATACTCTTAAAAACTCAAAAAATGACGTCTTAATGCACCAACGACAGAAAATTACCATTCAGAAAAGGTGCTATAGTTTAGCTTCGGAGCAAGTTTTCTGGTAGAAAAGTGATTCAGAGGCATAAAAAATACAAAAACACACATCATAGAAAAACCAATAGAACCCTCGCTACACTTCGAATTTAAAATGTTTTATGTGTACCTACTTATTCTATAGACATAAACCCTAACCTCCTCCCCCCCTATTTAAAAATCTTGGCTATGCCACTGATATGGATAACTTTAGATGTCTGTCCTGTTTAAATTCATCAAAAACTACATGTGTTATTCGTAAAAATGTAGTAATAAATATTTTAGTTTTACTAATATTATTGTAAATTCGCTATAATTACCAATATATTATATTATACATATTATTAAAAATAAAACTTACTCATCAGCATCAAGTCGAGCTTCTCAAAATTGTTCAACATAATTCATTAGTAGAGTATTCGTATACAGATACTAAAAAAAAATAAACTGATCTCCACCAATCCTCGGCAAATTGTCTATTGAGTATATTATATATATTACAATTAGGTACCGGAAATATTAATTTGATGTAAATATTGTCAATTAAAAAATATTCAATTAAAATGAAGTGTTTATGTACGATAATATAACACTACAATATGATGTAGGTACAGACCACATAAGAACATATCTACTTTTATGCACCCGACGTGTTTACAGCACTTCTTTATATACAATTTGGAATGGATAAAATTCAAAGCCATCAAAATTAAAATGTTCAGATAGCATACCGAACGCATAATTTTGTCAGATATATAACGCACGTTATCGCGCGTATTAAATAACTAAAATTTGTTGTGAACATCATAATGTCTATTGTCTCGACTAACTATAGATATTATATGAATTAAAATAATTTCCATATTCGGACTAATAATGAATTGTACGATTAAAAAAGAAAAAATAATGTGTACGCTTTTTTATTAAAAATTATTATCTATTATTAAATAGTGTATATTACTGATTTGAATACATCATAATCATCTTTACCAGCCATAGGTGCACGGATTAAATTTCAAAATTACACGAATATGTCGAATTATATAATAATAATATAATCGTAGATGAATTAAGTGTAAAAATTAAATTAAATAAAAAAGTATAAATGTTTAAATAATTCAAAAAATTCTTAAAATTAACCGAAAAAATAATAAAATAAAGTTATTTTTTAATTTTTTTAATAAAAAAAAAACTAATCCAAATATAATGAAATATTTAGTCGTCTTTTAGTTCTCTGTGAGCAATATAAAAAAAATAAAAAACAGAATTTGATTAACTTTATTATCTCCGGAGATATTTAAGGGGTATATCTTCGTGGAACAGCCTGTATACATAAATAGTAATATGCAGAATATTATTTATTATAACATTACAAAATTCATCAATGATATAATAACTTTCGCACAAAAAAGTTCGTATTTTAATTTTTTTGCGACGAATGTATTGGTTTTATAATGATGTTTATTATTATTATTTTTTTTTAATGTGAACTCTTTTTCTTCCAAAAAAACATACTCCGATTATCAAGTACAGCACTTTTTCTAAAAGGAAATGTTTTCTGGGTGGTAATTTAAGCAGGTAATTTTTTGAAATTCTCATTAATATTCGAGATAATGACGAAAACCTCGGTCTTTAGGTCAACAATTATTGAAAGATTAACAATAAGGTTGTCATTGGCAATCGTTTTTATTTAGTTTTTTTTATTATTAAGTTTTTATTATTTTAATATTTTTTAAACAATCATTGTTGTCATGAAAACGCATATTGTTTTAATAATTTTACCATAATACCATGTATTCTATTTTTGACAAAGCAACATTATCGACAGAACTCGGCTCAAAATCGTTTTTTCGTTAGCAATGGTTTATCGTTGCTTACGAATATATATTAAATTCTCATTTGTAGCCTATCTTCCAAACTTCCCACCTACAACAGTGGCTGCACCCACGTGCAAAGTATGTCCGTCCTTAACTGACAGCAGTGAGACTGACAGCAGTTTGTCGCACTACTGGCATCGTTTATTAATAAGTATAATCAAGTCATGTTTTGAAAAATCCTGTTTTCCCCTTCGCGGGGCTAGCTCACATTATTAACTATGCTAATTAAAACTACAGTAAGAGGTAAGTGGTAGGGTAAATTATGTACCTGAACAATATTAAGGGACACTATAATTGACGTTTCGAAAATATAGTTTTAAATTCTGAACGAAACTACAATGATATTGACTTTTTGTTTATATACTGTTTACTAAAATTTTTTTAAAATAGTAAGTAATTAAGTCACTAGTTACTAATCAATATTGCACTAGTTACAAAGTTATAAGTTAAGTTATTTTTAAAATTTGTTTTAATTGCTGGTAATTATAATAGTTCCTCGTCAAAAATTTATATATTACTTTAAATATTTGTTTAATTGAAAATATTTATTAAATTTTAATAGTAATTTTTTTTTTAAACATTGAATCAGCAAATGTCCGCTACAATTCAGGCGCATTTTTAAGAGGGGACGAGGGGAGCCATCGCCTCCCCCCATAAGCCGTGTTATGTTCTTTTTTGTTATACAAATTATCCATAATTTTTAAGTACAAATAAATACAAATGCTACTGGTTCTAAATGCCATAAAGATGATTCCGGATCTTGAAAATACTTTGATTGAAATAAGAATGAAACTATTCTTATTAATAAATTTCAATAAACATTTTCTCAAGGGTAAGATAGAATTATGGAAAACTAAGTAGAAACAATCAATTTGCAAAGGTATAATAAAATAATATATTTCTAGAAACAAAATTTAAAGTTATTACTTTAATTTAAATTTTAGATTCTGATTAAGGCGAAGAATGGACCTATTGGATTTTTTTTTATTTAATTGTAACAAAAATTTCTACCAAAAATATTACATCAATATGTGAGTATAGCACCTTTTTCAAAAAAAAAATATTGTCATATTAACTAGATGTTACTTTAGAAAGGTCATATTTTAATTTTTCAAACAGTTTTCATAATATCAGGAAAACCAACGCTCCTGCATTAAATTTATGTTTCTGACTGCACATCAATCTATGTTATTTTCATTACTGACATACAACAATATGGAAATCAACTCATACATATCTCTACGCAGGTAAACAGTTACCCGGGAATCAACTCTTATGTAGCCTTCAAATGAATTTGCTTTCCTTTTTTTTTTTAATCATTTTGAAACCGTAAGAAGGGTATTAAATTGCATATCTATTTTAAATGATAAATTGTTAACTCTTCCCTACTTCCCCAATCTAAACTTTAAACAATATAACATTAAATCATAATAAATCTGATATTAGTGTTATGCATAACAAAATACCTAGAAAAATATTCTTTATTCGAATCTGTGTTAAAAAGCAGGTTTCTTATTTTAAATATAAAAGTATAAACTTATTTAAAGTGTATGGAGTTGACGTCACGAATTAACAATGGTTTTAAAATTAAGCTTAAACGATTTCACAAATTATTGTGGAATTAAAAAAATAATAGTCAAATTCACTTAAAATCCTCCGAGAAAATTTTCGGTTCATCTCTAATCGTTCAAAGGGATTATACCAGAAATTGGAAAAATCACTTGCTAATTGGTTGCTCTACGCGCTCTCATATTATCCATGTTAACCTCTAATCACTTTTTTAAAATTTTTTTTAGAAAATGACAAATGTGTCTATATACTAAGCTGCCAAAACGTTGATTTTTCTTTACCGTGGCTATATTATATAATATATTGTTTTGTGGTGGCATACAAAATATTAAAATAAACACTATATTAATAAAAATAAAATTGTAGACAAATTAATAAAGAAAAATGATTGACCAAACACCCGATTACGCGTATAATAGTTCTATTTAAAATAAATTAACTTTCTTTAGAAATATTGTCCACCGGGAAAAAAATGTATCAGGTTAACTATGTTTTCAAAGAAACGCTAACCGAGATACTGCACGTACATGTTATGGCGTCATGAATTAGAACGGTGTCGCAATCAAATGTATTTATGACATCCCAAAAATGTGCCCGGTTATCATGTTGACGACAACTTTAACCGAGATACCGCATGTTATGAGGTCATAAATAAACGAACGGTGATGTAATCGATTGTGTTTATAACATTCTGTGACGTATCTATAAATTGTAAGATATTAAAAAATTCTAACAATATGGCAAATAATATGTACGTAAAAAATAAAAATAAAATATTTAGTAGATATAAAAAAAAAAAGGCTAAGAATAAAAAATATCAACGACATTAAACGA